ATGTAAGGAAAGCACTGGATGATTTGCAAAAAGTCATGAAGAATTTTGAATCACGAGCTGAATTCACAGAAGATTTGCAGAAAATGAGTGATGTAAGTGTTCTGTTTCATTTCAGCCTAATTTTGTAATAGTTTTAAAAGAATGACGGATTTTCAGACTGATAAAGGAGTGGGAATAATGTAGTTGTTCCTGTCTTGTATTTGTTTCTGAGTCTTATTTTATTTAGACTGTTACTAAATACATTGCATTATACTTATTAATCCTAACTTCCCTTCCTTCTGATAAGGCTGCAGGTGAATATGTTGACATAAGAGAAGAAATTGAAGATGATAGCATTGAAACAAAAGGTAACTGATTTAAAATAAATATGTCTTGAAATACCAGTGAGCAAAATACTCTTTGTGTGGGAGGGATTGAATAAATTACCTCATTTCACTATGTCTTTTACATTAAAAGAATTGCTTTATTCAAGTAAAAAAATTACTAATCCTAAGGTAAGATGGATTCTGTCCCTCAGTGGATTCTCTGCTATCTCTTGGTAAAAATCAGCTAGACATTTGGGTGATATTTTTCCTTTGAAGAGCCTACACTGGGAGTTTGAAGTTTTCTGGGAGAGGGAGAAAATAAATTAAGCTGGCTTCAGGAGAGAAAAGTGGAGAAGACTTTTTTTTTTTATTTAAGTGTGAGTTTTACAACAGAAGGGAAACCAGAGAAACTGAGATTCTGCTGTTACCCTAACAGCATGTGATCAGTGTCAGCAGGGTGGGGATGAGGCACGGACAGGAATGAGGCATCAAGGGCCAATGTGAGCATCTCATCGTGGGGTGTTCCACGGCTGGCAGGGAACAAACACCACTGCAGCCCTGGTGTGCAGCTCCTGCCCATGCACCATGGAACTGCTTCCCAAAGGTTGTTGGAGAGGACACTGGGAAGCAAAGGTAGTTGTGCTAAGGAATTAATTGGGTAATTTCTGTGCTGTCTGAAGTAGTGCCTGATAGGACTGAGACAAAGTTGGAGGCACAAGTAATTTTACATTATTCTGAAAATAGAATCACTTGGACATTTTTAGGAGGAGCAGATTTGCAGAGGGCTATGGGCAGTTCGCTGATACATTTTCCTAGAATAAATCAGAATAATCTTTATATGCCAAGACTGATTAAGGGAGTGTCTCTACTATGGGTACATGTAGTTGCAAAATAGGAGGAGTAACATTCTAGGAAATGCATCCCACATTAATAGTGTTAATGCAGCAGCATGCTGTGCAATCCAGGTCAGCATTTGTGCAGCTTTTTTTGTATCCTAAACCTGCTTTGTCACTGTTGTCCTCTGAAAGAAATGGGCTATATCTCAGAGGAAGGCAAACACAAGTATCCTGAGCATCTCCTTAGTTTGTTGCTACCTCTCCCATTTTCTGGATTTTACTATGTCACTTTTTTTGGTTGGTGTATGAAGGTAGTGGTGGTGTTTTGAGGTAACAGTGAGTGAACACAGTGGATGCTGGAGCAGAAAGCGGTTTTCCCTCTGTTGTCTTTTTGATCTGACCTGGTTTCCTAACTGACAGAAGTTGTGTTGAATTAGGAGGGAGAATCACTGGCATGTTGAAGCACTTGCTGATGCTCAGGAAGCCATGTGCTTACCTTGGTAGTCAAGTCAGTGGTTAATACTGAAGGGTAACAGAGACTGGGAGGGCACAATTTGACAATCAAATTGAAATAGATTGTTAACTAATCCTTCCAATTTTATTTATTAATTTTGTAATTATAGCAAATGAAATCCTCACAAGTTACTCTGATTGCTTGGCTTACCTCAATTTATATTCAAATCTCACTAAAACACATTTCAGCCTTTTCTTAACAAGATGATGAAAAGTGCTATCCCATGGAAGAGCAGGGGACACACATTCCAGCATTACTTGCAGTCACCTGTTTGCTTTTTAATGTTGCTGTTGAATTTGTATTTAACTCAGGATTAAAGTATAAGCTGACGTATTTGAATAAGGATATCTTTAAGCCATGAGTTCTTAAAATTTAAAAAAAATGGCCACACAGTTGGTTAATAGAGATTTTAAAACACAAAGGATGCTGAGTAATGAAGACATTGTACTACTGTTGATTGGAATCACAAAGCAGCTTCATAAAGACCCACAGAACCACTGGAGTCCTACTTCATTTGTGGCAGTGGTGGAAGGGGATGGGTCCTCATTCCTGAGAAGAGATGCAGGAGCTGGGTGGCTGGTGATGGGCAGAGGGCAGGGAGTTCCCTTGGGAGCCTGCCTGGGAGCTCTCAGGAACAGGCAGTGCCCCCAGGAGTGCTGGTCTCAGGGAAAAGGGGTCAAACACACAGGCCTGCCCTTCACCCAGGCAGGGCTGAAACATTAGGATTTGTTCCCTATGTGCCAGACAGCACTCAAACAGGAAAAGGTATTCCCCATCCTCAGTGGATGCACTGTTTTACCAGGGAGCAAGGCTTTTAAATGCCAGCAAGGACTTGTCACTGACTACCATTTGCTCTCAAGTGTGTATCTCAGGTCACCTTTGTGGCTTTAAATGGGGTTTATATCTATTATTTGTGAAAGGCAGGTTTTTGTATGATTTTCAGAGTGGGTCTTTTTCACTAAGTAAGTGATTGATAATGACTGGATTTTGATCAGATTTTCCAGGTGACTCAAGATAATTTTTAAAGGTCTTCATTGTAAATTTAAAGAAAAGACTCTGCTCTTTAAATGTAAGTCACTGTTAAAAATGAGCTGTAATACAGACCAGGTTTGTTTTCCCAGTTAATAATACCTGCTGTTAATGGGACAGTGAGCAAATGTCACATTCACATGTTGGTATCTATCAGATCAAACCAAAATCTAGTGTTTGGCACAAGAGGTAAAAAAATCCACATTGTAATAAAACTGTCACAGGATCAGTGTCTCCTGCTTTGTAAATAAACATCTCTGCTTTGCCTTGGTATTTCTGTAACATCCGGAGACTATTACCCTGTGCTGGTGCTCTGGTTCATTGACAGTTTTACTTAAACAGTTAAACAATAATTTGAAATGGAAAATGTTCTGCCCTTATTCCTTAGTTCCTTTGCGTGTTTTTTCCCACCCTTCAAATGTTTTTTGTTGGATTTTTTTGTTGGATTTTTCAGTGAGTTGCCTTAGTAATTGCATCTTATTTTTTATTACACAGGAAAACACCGAACTGCTCACAGACCTCATTCAAAGCCAAAAGTATCAAATGTTTTTGAGGTAGATTTTCCAGCAAATGGAAGTGATACAAAACCCATGGGCCGTTTCCAGTCAGAGGAGGAACTGTGGGCCCGCTTAGAAGAGCTTGAGAGACAAGAAGAGATCCTTGGTGAACTCGACAGGTACAGTGCTGGACTGGAGTTCACAGAGCTGAGTGTGAGGCTCTTGGTGCACAGGGGTCCCACCAGCAGGCCAGGCAGCTGACCACACAGATGGAATTAAAATCATAATAGGTGGAAGAAGGGTGGGACATGAACAAAGCACACACTGCAACGCCAAAGCTCCTAAAATCTGCCTCTGTGCAACCATAGCAGTCCAGCCTTCTGATATTTTTTCTTTAAGATGAAGTGGGGGAAGTGAAATTCATTTCCCACAGGCTATGAGAATCCATAGTTTTCCATGTGGGAGTTACACATTTAATGCTCAGTGACATCCTTAGAGCTATTCTGACCCTCAAGCAATACCTAGGTTGTTAGCCATGATGTCACAGTTTTGGTATTTCCAGTTGGTGTGGGAAGGACACAGCCATTGTTAGAGGACACAGAAGTTCCACAGTCTGCCTAAAAATACATCACCTGTATAAAGATAGTAAAGACATTCAGGCGAGTTCATTATTTTGTATGGTTGTGGCTCTCAAGAGCATGAATTGCCTCTGTTCACTTAGATATTTTTCATCCCATAGGATGCCTGATACAGTTGAGACAAATGGAGAAGATGCAACCTCTTCTGAAGAGGAGAAGGAAGATAAGGGGACAGATGTGAATGGGACATATAGGGCAGAGGACTGTATTACTCAGGGCAACTTCCATAAAGAACTTGCAAACTCAGACTTGTTTGTGGGCCAAGTTAATGGCTCAACTTACTATCACAGTGATGATGAAGATGACAGAGATGTTGGAGATAACTCTGTTCCAACTATTTTTTTCTCTCACACTGTGGAACCTAAAAGGGTTTGTACTTTATTTAATTTTTATCTTTTGCTCAAGAGATTGCATAAAATATATATGCCGTTTCTAAACCTGAAAATTTTAGATTAGTAGATGCAGTAGAATGCTAGCTGGAGGTGACATTTGGGTTTTTTTCAAATGATTAAAAACCCACTGTTTAGATCCTGCAGTCCTAAATATGGTATTAAAAAAAAAAAAAGATCTTCAAATGTCTGCCTTGCTGTTCTGGCTTCTGGCTGTTGTAAAAGGCAGTATCCTGTCTAGGAGTTTTTTAATTGACTTCTTACTTGCCTTGAAACTGACCTTTGAACAGCTCAGCTGTTGAGCAGAGCTTGAATAAGCAGACTGTCATATTTTATATGCAAAGTATGTGCACATTAGGGCAAAGAAATGCCCCAGCCTAGTGCAAGTGCTGGAGAATAAACAGTGCACACTGTCAATGTTACCATTCATGCATTTGTTTAACTTACCTATGCTTCCTAGTCCCCAACTGCTTGGGTAAGAGAACGTCAGGAGTCAGTTGATCTGCAGCCTGGTGATTATTGATTTTATGGTCTAGACCATCATTTGTGTTCAATTTTCAGGTAAGAATAAACACAGGAAAGAATACTACTTTGAAATTCAGTGAAAAGAAAGAAGAGGCCAAGCGTAAAAGGAGGAACAGCAGTGGCAATGGCCATGCAACTCCAGAGCTGCCCAACATCAAAACCCCAGCAGACATTTACCGGTGGGTAATTTATGGTGGAGCTTTCCCCTGAGCTTTTCTCCTTTCATTTCTGTCCACCTAGAGTGTGAAACCCCTCCTACAGTTTCCTGAAAGAAACAGCTGGAACTGAATTTACTACTTAAAAATGAAAGTTTGTGCCTTCTGCATGGTTGCTGTGCTTTCATGTCTATGAAATATTTCTGGGCTTAACACTTCCTTTTCCAAATAGCAACTCTTCATTCACCTGCTTTTTCAGAGCTTCTGAAATGGAGGTAAATTTGCCAGTACATACCATCCTCAGAAGGGAAACCAACAGTTATATTATGTTACATTCTGGTTAATTCCCTGCCATTTTTTTCTGTCTTTGTTTTCAAACAGAACTGACCAGATCTACCACTTGTAATACCCTTCTTTCCTGGTTATTGATTTGCTGGGCTCTGTATCTTCCTTTCTGTGTCTTGAAAACGTACTCAGCTCTTTGCTTGCATAGTTTCTCTTGCATTCCCTCTCCCTGGCCTGTCACTTTCTGTATTCTCCATAACAAGTACTGCTCACCTGTAGGGCACCCACACACAGAGGGCTTGAAAAACAGTGCTGGGCTTAGGGGATTGTATAAAACACTAAGGTGACAGGATGGTTAAAACAAGTATTTGGGTCTGTAAAGATAAGCACAGACACCTATTGGATTGGTTGATTAAGTGGTTGTGAAAATCCCACTGTATGTGTGTGTATTTGGGTACCTAAATATGTTAAACATGTCACAAAGTGTGAAAAGTGAAACCAAGTCTTGTACTTGCAGCTGCTGAGGCTGAAGATGAGCAAAAGAGTATTTTGTGCTTCTCTCTCTGAGCTCTGCAAACTTCATCTTCTGTAGAGTTGTATTTCTATAAGTGCCTGATGAATAAAGCTGTTAGAAACAAGTAACACCCTTAAATGACTTAATCCAGTCATTTGGCTTCTCCTTTATGAGTTTGATAAAATTGGCATTGTCTTCTCATTCTCCTCCACCCACCCTTGACTTTCTCAAGTCATGGAGAGGGAGCACAAGAGCCATCTTTGTCAGTTCACAGTCTGTTAATACTTGAAAAGTGTCTTCCTGTTGATCTGATCTTAAAAGCTGATTTTTAAAATTTTGTTTCTAATTGAAAGCAGATTATGACACTTGTCAGGAAAAAACTTCCATCCTTTCCATGTGCAATGAATGTTTCAAGTATTTGTTTTTGTATTCTACATTTGACAAGGACTTAACTCTAGAAAACATTCCCAGATTGTGATACTATTCTCTTCACGGAAACAACCCTGCTCATCATTTAGTTTACCTTTTTTCTAACTTTTTCTAACTCGCACCTTTGTGTTTTCTAACATTTTTCAAAGAGCTATGCATTTTCTGCTGAAAGTAAGTACCAACTTAATGCTTGAATAAAGGGCATAACAGCATTCACTCTGCAGAATTGTTTCTTGTACATTGGTAAATACAGTGCCTCTGAAGGTACAGTGTTGTGATTCTGCAGCGAAAAAGTTGGGAAAGCACATCATAATTAATTTGTACAAAAGACAAAGCAAGATCACTGTAAATTTGTCATCTGATCCTGAAATAGTTTATTAAAGCTAACATTTTCCTTTATAGAGTCTTTGTTGATGTTGTGAATGGAGAATATGTCCCTCGTAAATCAATTTTGAAGTCTCGAAGCAGAGAGAACAGTGTTTGTAGCGATACCAGTGAGAACAGTGCTGCTGAGTTTGATGACAGACGAGGAGTTCAGAGGAGTATTAGCTGTGATGAAGCCACTCAGAGTGACAACAGCGAAGGCATCCTGGAGGAAGAGGAGGGGGAGGGGCAGCAGCAGCTACTGAAAAAGCTTCCTCCCTCTTCAGGGACAACCGAGGTACAGTTTTTAATTCATTATTGATTGTTGCCAGGGATAAAAATGAGAAATCTAATGACTGTGGTTACCTATACCATCACTTTGATTTCTTTAAAATAATTTTCTGACTCCTACCTGGTTTGCTTCAGAAGGACAAATACCAGGTGACAGGCCTCTGTCACATACATCCTAGGGGCAGAGGAGAGGAGCTGCACGCGTGGCTTCCCAAAGGTTTGAAGCTCTTCCATAAAGATCCAACAAAGTGGTCACTTGCTGAAACCAGTGTCCTGTGTGCTGGGTCATTCTGACCTTTTCACTGCAGGACAGACAGCAGGATTTTAGACAAAAACAGGGAAATCTGTACTTTGATGAAAGGGAAGAGGTGATTCTCTAACCTGTGTTGCACTACAAGACAGCTAATTTCCAGGGAATGTTTCAAATTTAAAACGCATAGATACCAGCTGAATTACTATTTTCATGTGCCAATAGCAAATTGCCTGATAGAAGGAAGCATTGCACTCCTACTGATCCTATTCCAGACTAGGCCATTAGTGATCCCAAACAAATCTGTTTACGTGTGTTTGGAAAGTTCAGGGCTTCATCATAAAAGAAAGACTGTATGATGTAAGGGAAAATGCACAGTTGCTTAGTGACTGGGTGAATACAAGAATTAAGGGTAGAAATTTGTGGCATAGAATATTCATTTCTGTTGTAAGAACTTAACACTAATTTTTTTAAACTAGATAAAACTTGAACTGAAGAAATTCTCAGTGCAATGGACAAGTTCAATGAAAACATTATTTTTACAAAAAATATTTTTGACAAGGAATGAATTTCTCATAAAAGCTATTGTTTATCACAATTTTTCATTCAAACAGCTACAGAGGAATCCAGGCAGGATGTGAAGAATCATGATGGAAAATTTATCTGTGGAGTTAGCACTCCACATTGTATACTTTCTGGAATATATTTGCTATATTTTTATAAAACATCTAAGTGCACTTCAGATGTTACCCATCAGTCTGTTACCTGAATCTGGCATGATTATTCTCTACAATGTAATGTATTTTCTAAGCAACTGAAGGAGATTGAGCAAAACGCTCCAGTCAGATGTGCTTCCCTAAATGCTGCTGTTTTGCTTTTGGTTATTTTTGTGGGTGTTTGAAATCCATTATTTCTCCATTACCATTTGGAGAGTTAGTGTGTTACCAGTTACACACCAACTTTTATTTCTAATTTTACTACCATCACTTAGTTTGTGCTTTCCTTACCTGTTTTTGAGAATGACTTCTTGTTAGATTAACAGAATTGTACAGGCACAGCTTTAGGCACACTTGGGCTATTGGAGCAGAAAACAAAAAAGCACTGCTTTTTTTTGCAGGTTCTGCAAGAAGAGAATGGCCTGTTTGTTTTGCTTTGTTTTTCTTGGTAACTGAGTTATGAAAAAGCAGAACTAAGCATGGTGACTAAATCTGGTGTGCATTCCTTTGTGCCCAGCATGAGCATCAGACCTTGGATGTGAACTGCTTCCCCTTGTCCTTGGGCATTCTGAATTCTCTGTTTTCAATACATAGTGGAGTGATTTGTTCTTAAATATGTTTATGAAAAGTAGTTCTGAGCTGCTTGTTTTCCAAGAATCATGATCATTTCTTTGCTAAGTTGAAAAGGATTGTCGTATAATTGGCTGCATATAAATTACAATTTTTAAACACAAAATGTTTGTATTAGGCCTTTTTTAGAGAGAAATAGTTGGAAACAAGTTTGCTGTTCTCTTAAATATAAATTGCTTTCACCATTTTTTGATCATATTTGGTAGGGAGAAAAGAAGAAACAAAACACGTGCTTGCCAGTTCATGTGAAGTGTTTCAGCTTGATGCAATTAGAAGATATTAAGTCATAAAATGACGTATGATGGGAATGCTGACATAAACTTTGCAAAGTCTCTCCATTTCTTATCCAAAACTAAACTGTCTATTACATCAGCTGTTTTATTTCTTGAGCATGTGTCAGTGTGGAAGCAAATTTTTACATCATTTGTGCAGTGGGAATGAGATTAAGTAGTACTTTTAAGATACTGTCTTTCATGCAGTCATCTTTGAACAAGCTATATTTTGAGGTTAATTACAATGTGGTTACTTATGCAGGCAACAATCATTGATTTAAGGATATTTCTTTACTTTTGATTAGAAGAAATAACAATTCTAATCAGGCTAATATAGGGTAATGACCTTATGGGCATAGCTTCACATTTGCATTTTATTAGCTCATTCTGAGTATTCTCTTCTGTTGTAGGCATTTTCTGGAACTGTCATAGAAAAGGAGCCTTTGTCTCCCTCCCTAATACCACACCCAGTCCTCGGTCACCCAGTGCTGCCGACCATTCTGGAGCGCAAATCAGAGGAACTTCAGTCTGATGCCCCAGAAGAACCAGTCAAGAGGATTTCCAAATTCAGAGCTGCCAGGATGCAGCAGACTCAGTAGGTGCTGTCGAGCCCGAGCACCTTGCCTGGTTTCACCTCTCTGGCGATTATATAAAGCATTCTCTGTAGCACCCACCCAGTTACCAGGGTGTCCTGTGGTAATTTGGCAGCGGTTATCTCCTCAGCATTCACTGGCAGCATTAGGAAAACAAACAGTTCAGTGTTTGAACACTTGAGTATTCATCTTATTTTGTCGGTTTCCCTGTGTGCTGTCAGCACCTTTGTATATGTTTGCCTTATGATAGCAGCACTTGGGTTCTTTTTCAAAAACTGTTCCTTACATACATTGTTTTTGTGTTTAAACCTAAATACAGGCAGTTTTGTGCCAGCTGTGATGTTCTACATACCATATGGACCATTTTAAGGAAACTTTTCACATTTCAAATAGATTCACCAATTATATTACATTACTTGCTTTAGCATTTTAAGACCCACTTGTATTCACATTGCTGTAGGTTTTGCAACTAGGTGTCTGCTAAAAGTTTTTTTCCTTCTTTCAAACCTCTCTGATATCTCACTGTACAGGTCTATAAAATGCCAGGTTCATGTACATTGCAGGGAAGTTTCTTTGATGGAAAAGGGTATTTTGTAAAATTAAATTTTCAGTAAAAAAGCTGTGAAACTCGTGTGGTTTTTGTTGCTTTACTACTAATTTGGAAGCACCACAGAGAGGTTTTTATTTGGAACTCGCATTTCTAGCTTGAAGTGTTTACTACCACATGGACATAAAAGCAGTCCATTCTCTTCTGCCATTGTGTTTTAACCTCCTGCTAATGAATGTCCATGGAAATTGAATGCTCTTAAGGAGAGAAGCATAAACTCAGACTCTTGATTACAAAATCTCCTAGTTCTTTTGTATACTCAGAAAACATTGTAATTGTCTTGGGAATGCCCAGAGGGAGTCAGCACTAAGGAAAAATGTCTTAATGCTTCAGCTTTATTTCAAAATGCAACAGCAGTGCAGCACTCAGTGTACAGTTTGGTGTATCCTCGTGACTGAGAGCAGTCCTGGCTTCAGGATTCCCTGCCCAGCAGCTCCTTCCAATCTTCTTGCCATCCCCTTGTTTTGCTGACACAGCGTTTGTTGTTTGGGGCCACCCCTTGAGTGATAGTAGGTGACAGAGATGGGCTTTAAAACCAAACTACTGGGTTTGGTTTCTCATTACTCTCATGTGTGAGTTTTTGAACCTAGTGAGTTTCCTAATCTCTCAGCATGTCTGTATCAGCACAATTAGAGGGATTGTATGTTGAGCAAGGACAAGGGAAAGCGATGGCAGAGGACATGGAGAGCTGGAGTACCTGAAACTGATGGTGCTCTCCAGCTAAAACCATCGAGGCACAGCCAAAAAAGTGAGGCAGGAAGACTTGGGAGGGGGTAAGGAGGGACTCTGACTTTGTAAATGGGAAGCCTGAGAGCCATCTGATTTTCCAAATCTTGGCAAGCAGGACATCAGATGATGCTGTTTCCTCACCTTCCCCTAAAATAACTGTGCCTTGTTCTCTGATCCTTTGCTCTCAGATCACAGCAGATGAGCTCATGGTGTGGCTTTGGAACAGAATCGCCAGCTCCCCCTTGTCTCAATGCTCCTCTCTCTGTTTGAAAGGGAGGTGGAGGCACTGGAACTTCTTTTTCTAAGGTGTCTTTTAAAGTAAGCAGAGGCACTCCGTGGAACTCTGCTGTCCCCTGCTAGTTTGGGAAGCCACAGTGGTTTCATGGGCAGAAAACACTGGCCAAGTGTGGCAGCAGGAGGGCAGGAGGGGCAGGCAGCCAGGGTCCCTGCTGGGGGAGCAGCCCACCACAACTGGGGGCCGCATTTCCCCCTCGGGACAGAGCAAATTGTGTTTGGCTGCAGGAAGAGCTGCAGGGAAAGTTGTGCAGCCCCGCAGCGCTCCGCCTGCGAGGGGGCAAGCACTGCTCCCAGCACATCCTGAGAGTCACGTTGAAAGTGTTAATGATTAACTTGATTCATGCTCAAATGCGGATTTTTTTTTTCTTTTTTTTTTAAAGCATATTGCATTAGTACTAAAATAAGCCATCAATGCCAGTCCACCCTCTATTCACGGCTAAATATTTAAAGGAGGTTATTTATAGCTTCTTTAATGAATTCTTGGCTAAACAAAATGAAATTATGTCCTAGAAAAGTAGAAGCTATTTTGTAACCAGAACAGTGCAACTGTAAAATATAGTTCCATGAATATGTATTTTAAATAACAAGGGGTTGAGATCCAAGACTACCAGACATGGGTAATTAGAGGAAAACTGAGAGAAAGAAAGGGGGAGAGGGAGAGAGAGAGAGAAAAACCCCTTTAAAAAGATTTATTTAGATGTCTTCTGAAATACTTCCCACTTCCAGTTACTTCAACAAACCAAATGCCCCTTGTCACCATAGATCAGTTTCAAATCAAAATTAATTCTTTGCTTGTTTTCTTTTTTTCTCCCCTCCCCTTTTTTCACATCCCTGCTCACGGGAAAAAGTAGGATAAATGCACCTTGGGTTTTAATGAATTATGGCCTCGGTTCAGGGAAGCATCCTTATTCAGGAATGCACTTTGGCATGTGCTTATGTCTCAAAGATTTTGTAAAGAAGAATGGATTTAACCACATTCTTAAAACTAAGCACATGAGTGTTTTCCCTAATAGGGAGCCTGAGTGTGTCTGTGCCTTTCTGCAGTATATTTAATTGTCAGAGGGCTCGCAGGCTGGAATGAGCCTTCGTCTTTCCTCTCTTCACTTGGGCTTCAGCAGCAGACTCACTTGCAGTGCCTAGAGCAAGAGAGATGGCTGAAGGCGTTTTACAGAATGTTTACAAACACCAAACAACAACAAAAAATAATTAAATCTATCAAAGCAGATAAAAATCTGAGCAGTAAAAAGCAATCATGTGGAGGCCTGTCTCTGTAAGGACCTAAAATCTGCTTTCTCTGCAACACTGGAGCCAAGAAGCGCTGCTGCTGACCACCAGTGCATGGGTGAAGCAAACATGGGATGGAGCAACAGATCCCCAAACTGGAGGCATGAAGGGCTCCTGGGGGTAAATTAATTTTCATATGACTTTTTGCCTCCAGTGCTACTGTCTGGGATTTTACTCACTTAAGTAATAATAAGGATACATTTTAATTCCAAAATTCATTCTGTGACTTCCCACTGCTGGAAGGCTCCGTGTCTGCTGGGAGGCACTGCTGAGGGCTCTGGACACGGGGCTGGGGAAGGGCTGTTGGCTTTCCCAGCGCTCCCGAAGGCTTTCTGGCATGTCCTGGGCAGGAACGTGGCTGGGGCAGTGGGGCAGCAGGTGTGTGTATGGTGGCACAGGAAGGAGCCCCGGTGCCAGCCTGCCCTGCCTGCCTGCAGAAACTGCCTGCTCTCTAACCCTCTTAACTTCCCTCAGGTGTGCTGGGCTCCTGCCTGTGCCCAGAGAAGGGGCTGTGTGGGCAGCAGCTGGCCTGTGGCACTGCTGCTCTGGCCGGGAGGAGCTGCAGGAGGAAGGAGAGGATGCCGTGTGCTCCGTGCCGGCAGGAGAGGCCTGTCCTGGGCCGGTGGAGCTGGGGGCTGCTTCTGGGTACCTCATCCATCTCCCTCGCCCTTGTAAGGCGAGCTGCACTTCGCGCTTTCCATTGCTCGCTTAGGGCATCTAAAGCAGCAGATTTTTGGATGTCTCATGAATGTCTAAACCAGCTGTTTTGGCTGTTCATTTTAACTAAGTGATTTATGCCGCAAAAAACGAGCTGGGATTAAAAGAAATCAGATGTGTGTGTTTGGAATGCAGCGTCTCTGTGTTACAAATAGCTCCCCTCTAACCCACATTAACCCCACGATACGTGAATTTTGCCAACTCCCGCTGCGCCTTTTAAATCAAGCCTGGCAAATCATTCCCGGGTGCGCTGCGAGCCCCTTCCCTTCCCTTCCCTTCCCTTCCCTTCCCTTCCCTTCCCTTCCCTT